GTCCCAGGTGACAGGGATCAGAGTGCCAGCAGCACTCTGAGAATGTTCTCTGTCTCCTCAGTGGGAATTTTAAAGACAAAGCTCCACGGAGACAAGAGCAGTGTGTGTTTTCTATTTAGGTAACGTAGGGTTGGGTCTCAAACCCCACAGGGAAGGAAAGGAAATGTAGCCTTTTTTTGTATATACCTGTGTTTCACACACACACTTTGAGATTTCAAATCCGTGACCCAAATGTATCTTCATTTTCTATCCATTTGTTTTTAAAGCAATAGAACTCATAGCAGGTAAGGGAAAAATACTTTTGAAACCTACCTTTAAGAAATGGTAAGTGGCTCAACTTTTTTAGTTATATAAAGCCGGGGAGAGAAAGTTACTCACAGAGATTTTGTGACTCTAAGAATTTTTGTCCAGACTGGAAAAACTCATGGTTAGGTGGAAGTGGGGAAGTCATGCACCAATTAATTTTCTCCTTAAGCATTTCAACACATCCATTGTATCCACAGCACAGGTACTGCCATCATGCCACTTTTCTGAATGACCACTTTACATGAGGAGAGAAGGTCCAAAACATGCTCATGAAATACAAAGGTACAAAAACACACGGAAATCCTCACCCTGGGACCACACAAAGCCTGACTGAGGAGAACACTCTGCCCACACAGCGTGTGTCCATCTCTGATGGAGCGAGGCAGCAGGCACAGAGAGCTGTGCTCCCACTCCCATAAATCCCACGGCAGATGAACTGCAGCAGTTCCACAGAACATCAGCTACTGTGCAGTGACTGCCACGGCACAGGCTCAGAGGGGCTGTACCACACATCACTCCCACTGAGAAAGGGCCTGGTTGCCTCACGCCACTGGAAGTTAAAAATCACAAATATATGCAATGACTAAACTTTTTCCCTCTCACTCCTAATTCAAACTGACTTATCTCTTGGTAATTTGTTAGAGGATGCTCTAGTGACAGGATCGTTTAAATGGAATCTAGTGGTAAAACAAAAAATTAATGAATAAATGCTAACATTTTCACGACGGAGGAACAGTTCTAACTAGGGAATGTCTCTGTACAGGTTATGTGAGAAAAGAAATATATTAAAATCAAAGAAGTGCCCCAAAACTTCAATAGCTGGTATTTATGGAAGGACTGAATATATGAGGAATGCAAAATAAAGCCCTGTTCAGGAAGGAGCTTCATCCAGTGATGCTGCCTATAAAACTTAATGTAATGGGGGGAGGGGGAGCAGAAGCAACAGCAACACTTGAGGTTAGTGATCAACAAACATTTAGAAGCAACATCTCAAAATGCTCATGGAGGTACATATGAACGTTCAGACACCTAAACACCTTGAAGAATTAGGATTTCCTAATTTCTGTGTTTATGTGAGGCCTTCATACAGATACAGCTTTTAAATAGCTTGGAATTAGATATGTCAGGAGTATCAGTATGTACAGGATACTTCTGACACCACTGGCTGTTTGGAGTCACCTTCTATATTTGTTAAAACATTTAATGCTATATATATTAAAAAAAAAAATCTAAGAGCAATAAATGAAACTTTAAAAGTTACTGAAAAAATATGGTGATGAACACAGAAGTAGCAAGCATCCTCAGGTTTTCTGTTGCCAAGAGATATTTTCAGAAGTTCACAGGCTTCTATAAAGTCCAAGATAACGTTGCACTGTGAATCACAAAACAGATTTTAAGAATTGATGAAGTTGTTTTCAGTGTCAGTGAATTACTGGCGTATTTAGAAACCCTACAATTGATGTTTGTATACTAATGATACGTGTTTCTTCTTTCTCTTAGAAAGAAGAGTTTTAGGTGCTTCAACTGTGAAACATTTCAAAAACCTTCCACTAAAGCTGCCTTCTGGTATGTTTTCTTACAGTGCATACATCAGACCTATGTAGATTCCTCTTCTGCTATTTCATGTTTTGTCTGGATCAAGAAGAGTATCTGTTCTAAACATCAACGTCACAGAGTACGACAATGAATGACTTGAAAACACAGAAAAGGGAAGCAAGATGAGATGTTAGATGTCTTCAAGAATTAAGGCCAGATTTAGAAAAAAGTTTCATCAGCCCCCGAGTTCCATGAACTTCAGGATTTTAAATATAGTTTTAGTAACACGGAATTTTAAAGACTGACTAGGAATATAATCAAACAGTCTGCACAGGTGAGCTCACATCATTTCCTACCACCCTTCCCCAATTACTGGGCACACTGGGGATTCTGGAAGCCACATTTAGCGTCAATTCCTCGTGAGATGTGTTCTCCTTCCTAAGATTCTGACCAATATTCTCAGGCTTTAATTGTTAAAGTGCAACAGCTGTGGTCTGGGGGGGACACAGTTCCTCTCAGAGCCATGCAGCACTCTTGGGACAGCAAGAAGCCATTCAAACAGAGAATGACTGCACAGTCATGTACAGACAGGAGATCCTGAACAACTTCTGAGCCCCAACTGAAGAGCCGAAAGCGCCAAGCTCCAGCTCAAAAACACCCCAGCTATCACCTGGAAACCCAAGGCTGCAATCCCCACCTGAAGTCACCCAGTTCAGCACCTAGAACTGTTGTGTGGCAGAGGGACACACCACGTGCTCATCTCACACCTGGATCACAGAAAGGACCATCACAACTTCATACAACAGAGACTGTGTATACCTTGCCTGAGGTAAGGGCAGGGGGCAAGGTAGAAAAAGGGGCAGAGGTTATATCACCATCTAGGTGGTGGCTGTGGGCTTAGACTGCTCTCCCTGAATGGGATGAATTCAAAAGAAGCATTTTTGTAGAGTTCAAATACTGTTAATGTGACTGAAATAACCTGCCAGCTTACCAATAGCAAATTCAATAGTCATGGGTTGGGGAGGGAAGTCAGTGTAGGGAATATTGTCTCAAGTCAGCACTAAAATAACAAAAATCCTAATGCTAGGGAGCAGGGGATCTTATTTCATTAAAGCAGTTAGAGGTTCACAGTTCACATCAATACTTTTTTAAATTAAACTAAGCACATTTCTTTTTAAAGAGGTTACTTATATGTAAGGCCTTAGTGTCCTGTCTCTGTTCAAATTATTTCATCTAGATTAGAAAAAATTGCTATTTTCAAGATCAGAGAATATGATCTTGAGGCTCAGCTGCTGTATGTACGCCACCATCCCACCTCTGGAAGAGGAAGAAAAGAAAGAGAAAGGAAAATAAAAAAAAAATTTTAAGAATTCAAGGAAAGCCCATATGCAGGAAGAGGTTTCCACCTTATTCCTTTCTACCTGTTTCTACCTTATTCCTTCCTAATTTAGACAGTAAATTCTTTAAGAAAAGGGCCATCATGTCTTCACTACACAGGAGTAGGCACATGTGAGCACCTCAAGTAGCATCAGCTGCTGCAGAGACACACAGGAGAGCAGCAGAGACCTGGTGGGACAGAGGAGGGCTGCAGCCCCTTGGCACTCACCACTCCTGGTGACACACTGGAGGAAGTGTCACTGTCCATCCCACTGAGCACATGGCTGCAGGAGCTCCTGCCCTCCCCTCTGTGGTGCTCGAGGTGGTACTTGGGAACCAGACAAGGAAAACAACTTGTCAAATCCTTTAATTTCTATGACATTAAAACAGGGTCAAAGGTATTGGAGGAGCAGGGACAAAGATAAACATCACATTACAGACAGTAAACAAAGCTTCCTATGAATGCAAAAATTGTTACTTGTACAGTAACCAATACCACTAATTTTTAGCTTAAAAGTGATAAGCATGTGTGCTTTAGGCTTAGAAACCCCACAATATTACAGTTCTGCCACTCCATTTAATATTGTGCTACCAACACAGAATAAAGCCAAGAAATGGCTAACTTAAAACACTTAGTTTACATCTATTTTTTGGTCTTGTGTGGTATCTAGTTGAAGATGGAAGCATTGATGTGCTTTTGCCTCATAAGAAGTGAGGCAGATGTTAATGTTACTAAGATCAGCTGTATATACCTTGAAGGTATAGAACACCTGACTCTACATGAGTCAAAATACTAGGAATGTACTGTCAATATCCATTAATGAATTACCAGTTGCTTGTATTTAAGTGACAATATGTTCTGTGAAGAGTATACAGTGACCTGTATCTTACACGCAGTAACAAAGTTTTGCATAAGCATGTCATTTTCAAGGCCAAAGGTGTATTTTAATGTGGACAGTGTCACAACATCAACAGCTCATTTTAAATCAAAACACTGTCAGTAGTTGCACAGGGTAGTTCTGAATTTCCCATCCACCTTGGAAACCACACAGCATCTCAACTATCCCACAGATTCCAGTGTAAAATCTTTCCACACATAGCTTAACTCATACATCTGCCTGCAATACCCAGCAGAAGGGGTGGGGACAGTCAAGGCTGCAATGCTTGTTTTGAAAATGAGTTTTAAAGCCTTGCCTGAAGCTTGGGTGCTTCTCAGCAGGAACTGCCTCTGCTTAGTTTAAGTAATTGCCCAACTCACTCTCAGAAACCACACACACAGTATAATCCACCCTTTTCTGTGTTCCTGGGTCACTGGTGTCAGGACAAACATCTCTCCAAAGGCATGAAGAGCAAGACCAAGGATGGTTCACACTCCCTTGGTGTATTCCTAATATTAATTTCTTCAGTTTCACAGAGTGTATTTAAATAACTGTCTTAATTTTGTAACAAAAATATTTCTATATAGCTAACTGGCCTCACACACCACAATTCACCAGCCCCATCAAGACATGAGGACAATTTTGTCATACAATGACTTGCATGAAGAAGTGGACACATTTCAGTTGTTTTTAACTATAATGCTAACACATAGGGCTACAAGCTCTGAGAATACCTGAATGGTGCCCCTAATAATATATCTCCCAATATTTTAAATGTAAACACATTTTAAAACAACTTTCAGTTACAGCTCCCTGTTCTTAGTTGCAGAACTTTGACTCAGATAAAGATTTCTCTCTAAAGTGTCAGCATTAAACTCAAACAACAGAAAAGATGCTTGTAAATCTTAGTGAAATCAAGCAATTTTACTTTGTCTTCCAAGACTTGGTACAACACATCAACAGTCAGTTCAATAAGCCTTGCATTTATACCAATCACACACACAAAAAAGTAACTCTCTAGCATCATATTTACTACAGCAATATTTACATTATGCCCCAGATCAAGTCAGAAAAGGCAGCTTAAAAAAAAAAAAAAAGAGAAATCCTCATGTGTACTGGAGCTTGATTTTTTAAGCACTTTAGTGAAAAAAACAAGCAGACATTCACACAGACAGCAATAAGGGCGACAGCCCAGAGCAGTCATCTCAGGAGAACAGTCAAAGAGTTTCTGACACAAGGTTTACCTTATTTCGGAACCACAGTGGAAAGCAAGTTGTCCCCAACTGATCATATATAAAACCCCAAACTACAGACAGACTGACACAGTTGTTTTACAGAAATGGGAAATAAACAGGAATATTTTCTGGCTCCCTACATGATGGGCACTCACTGAACATGTCCCCATTCCAATCTGTTTGAAGCAGGACAAAAATGCAACCAGATTTTGAATACTTACTTGGTTTTTTTCTTTACTGTAAACTGCTTACAGGATTCCCAAGGCTGCAGTAATGCTATGAGAAAGGATGTTACCACCCACCAATGCCATCCTGAATCTAAGGTCTCTGAGCAGTTAAACTGTAACACTGCAGAAATTCAAACTACCAAGATTGAACACACAAGTTTTACTTATCAAACCACCTATGTCATCTCTATAATCTTAATTTATGATATCTATACATATAGGCCTATATACATCTTCATGTGTACATTAAAAAAACAGGCTAGTGACAGACACTGAACTGTGCCACTGAACAGAAATCCTGGTAACTGGAGTACAAATTCAGAGAAATTTACTTCAAATTAAAGACTGTAGAAAACTGCAACTGCAGCCTCCTAGGCCTGTGCTCCTTGCATTGATTACAAGTACTGCTTACACACAGTAGTTCATCAAGAATTTTACAGGGGGGTACTGGGAAGGGTAAAGGACCTCCACAGCACAGTAGCTCACAGAACTGTAAGAGCTGTGACAGGGGGTCTACACAGCTTTTTACAAAGCATACTAGGCTCAGATTTAACACTGAAGGTAATCTTCATGTGGACTTCAATAAGACATTGTTTGACCACCAGTAAAGCAACCTGGCATTTAGAGCTAAGGACAGACAGCTGAAAACATTGGCCTTCCAAGAAAGCATCATGACACAGCCTACTGTATGCAGCACAAAGGGAACTGTGATCTCCACCAGTTACTGCTATTTTTAAGACATTCTTGTAGAACTGTTTGTCTCCTGTCAAGGATGCCTACTCCAGGTACTTTACATTTCCAGTAAGGGTCATATTGGGCTTCAAGTGTATCTTTTCTTCTTTTTTTTTTTAACCAAGTCCCAAAGTTATTCTTTATAGCTGTGTTTGTGTAACACAGGAGGTACTGTGCATTCAAAATGGTAACAAGTTTAAAAATAAAGATGTGAGACTTTCAACAAATAAAAAGGAATGCGTTATTCTCTTCAGTTTCCAGTCTTCAAGGCACCTCCTGCATTAACTTACTGGGGAATAAACAAGCAGACCAAAAGTTCACTGGAAAGAGAAGAATGTGACACACCTAACTTCCTCAGAAGCACAGAGCATCAAAAATGAGACAAGGCTGGACCCAAACTAACAACAACTAAAAGCAATCTAAAAATGCTGATGAGATGACGGGAATGCCATGAGGTTGATGTTTTCAGCTCTGTTGATTGCAGGTGATTGTTATCACAGTGATTTCTGATGGCCATTTGCGGACGGCTTTGTCTCCGAGTCTCTTGGATTGTTTGATAGATGAAGTTTATCTAATCCTGCAAAATATTAAGAATGAGATAAAACTCAGACTCTCCCATGTTTCATGCATACATGAGTTCAAAAGAATACAGAGAATCCAAATTCTACTTTGTGGTTAAGGACTTCACATTTGCTGAAGACCAGAACTGACCTCCTAGCTCCGGTAAGAATTACTTCTGGGAAATTCCCTCAGTGGTTTTTAAGTGAGAAAACCCCATTAAAACAGACAAGTATGGAAGCCAGAGAATCCTCACTTAACATTGCTGAAATCACAGGCTTAGATGTTAAGAACCAAGAAAGACTTGCAATACTTTACCCTGTCAACCTACAAAGACCTAAGTAATTACCTAAAATACTTCTTTTAAACTATAGCATCTTTCTGAAAATCACCCATTGTTGATCCAAATGTCATTGGTGATGACCATATCACCTCTCTAAAGTGTTTATATGTCTAATAACATTTTTAGGCCTACATTATTATGATTTATCTCAGTTTCCAGCCATTTGTTCTTATTGCACAGTTCTCTACTATTAGTGCTAATTCAAGTCTCACATCCTGCCCCAGGCAAGTAATTAAATTACTCTTTTTGGGGGGAGGGAGGGGAGGTGGGGAAAGGTGGTAAATTTAAACATATTTTATTCACAAGAGGCATGATGTCAGTCCTTCCTTGCTTGCTACAGTTCCTCTCTGAACTCTCCTATCAAGCCTCTAAAATTACGGATCAAAAATGGAAAGAGCTTAAATTCATTTAGTGTAGACTATACTGAATGTTTTACTCAAGTGCCATGACATACAAAGTTAAATTTCTTGCATTGCTGGAATTCCAAAATTGACTGCACTACTAAAGAACCTAAAACTCCTCAATAGTGTCTTATTTGTAAGTCCCAATATTACATGAACTCTTTTTGGTCATAGGCCAATTTTGGTTCTCATTCTTGACACTGTTTGTTATGTACAGCAGTGAAAACAAATCCAGGTTTTTGTCAGGAATCTGGACATTTCAGGGTTTATAACTCCCTACTTGTGTCAAATTCAGCGACCACCTATCCTACTGCTCCTGCATTTTCAGGTCTGTTACACTGCCTTCAACATACATAGTTTTTTATTAAACACTTTATTTATAATTATTTTACAATAATTTTAACCTAATTTGCTACCAGCAGAGGTGCACTCTGAGAAGTGCTTGGAGTTTGTTTCAGCATCACAACTCTGAAAGCAGTAATCAGTGAAAATTAACATGAGTAACTTTTAGATGCTGCAAACTGAATCCACAGTTACAAAGAAACAATTAAGTTTCACCATTAATCCTCACAATATAAGCAAATACCACTCTAAGGATCTAAAAAGACAGGAGACTTGTTAATTAGTAAAGACAAGATGTAGCAACAACAATACATATGTACATTTTATCCTCTTAGTATCAAATGTGTTTCAAGTCTTTCTTCTATGATCAAGAAATATGAATGTACAATTTGATCAAATTTTTTGTTATATCAGGTACAGGTTTGACTCAGACATCTGCTAAGATTCTGTATATTCCATACAAAGATTTTCTGAACACGTGCTGGAAAAAAGCATCACAACAAAGCAGCGAAGACCTCCACTATTTTACGGAGCTAATAAGTTGCTTTAAACAAAAAACAGCCAACCCATACACAAGCTGCAGTTCTGGTTTGTAATAATTGGTCACTACTGTGCTCTCCAAAGGCTGAAAATCCAACTGCAGATCAGCAAGTCTCACATATCATTAAAATCAACACTGTACTTTAGCTCTGGACTCTTCAGAAAAAACCACACTGCTATGAATCCTCATTTTAACTTACGGAAACTTCCACCAAAAGAAAAGTTTCCAGAACTTTACCAGTAACATGCACATCAAGGCAACAACAGTGGAGAAAGGAAATCTTCAAGCACAAACAGAATTCTCAGAGCTGTGTTACCTAATGCCTTCAGGAGCTCTTCTCGCACAGCAGAAGTGAACTTTCTGACCAGACACAATGTTGTCATGATAGCAAAGAGCAAGTTGTAAGATAGTACAATATAGAAGTTCCCCAGCCAGTTGAACCTTCCAAAGTCTCCAAGCAGATCAAATCTGGTGATTCCTGTTAAATTGCATGTAAGATTTAGATCAAAATATTTATAACATTTTTTAAAGAAACATAAAAATTTATTTCTATTACATTTACATTTGAATGCAGATTTCTTTCAGACAACACATTAGAAGACACACCGTTAAATGCACAAGACAGTGTTCTCAAGATCATATTCTACTTTGTTGACCACTATAAAACTATACCAAAACCCTTACCAAAATGTTTCCTAAATTTCCTAGGAAAATGCTTGAATAATGTGAGTTGAAATTGTCTATTCTAGGTAAGAACTTGGCTTTTATAATTTCAATAAATAAATAAAACTAGGAAAAAAAAAATCTAGCTTTAGCATGAAAACTGCTTGAAACTTCAGTTTCTATGAAATCCTTATTTATTCCAGAAAGGATGAAATGCCCCATGGGCTTCCTTATAAAAAAATACACGTAGCAAAGAGCCTTTCTATGAGAGCCACAACATCTTGTGGTAAACACTAAGCCTTTGTAAGTGTTTTTCCAGAGCCATTGTTTTTGAAACCAAAGTTTAAAGACATCTTTGCAACTGCAGTTTTTCTCCTGGATAAACCCACTGCTACAGCCATGGAGTATGTGGCTGAAAGACGGTGCTGACAGGTCTCCTTCACAGTGCATCTCAAACCCTGACACTCGGGCTTTGTGCTGATCAAAGGCCTGTCAATCACTACAGTTAAATGAACACAATTTTTCCAACACGTGGAAATGTCTACAAGCTGTAGGGCCCATCCCAGAAAGCAGGAGAGGAAGAACCGTAGGCTGCTCTTTTGTCAAGTCTTAGCAAGTACCACACTGAATAAATGGCAGAACATTGAGAGGATACCCACAAAACCATTGTCTATGATTGCTAAACCATTATATTCCCAAAAAACCTCTGGTGTAGATGATGTCACAGGAAAACTTGTTCTTACAATAGGCAAAAGAAGATTTGCTTTATCCCAGAACTAACACAGCAGCACCAAATGAGGCAATGACAAAACAGCCCTGGCTCTGAAGCTCCTGGAAGTGAGTTTTCTGTTAAGTTATTTCATAAAGGTTTGGGGTCTTTTAAGAACTGACTTCAACAGTGATAATAAAGGAAGAGAGACAGAATTAAGGGTCAGTTACCCTCCTTTCAAGGGTAAGCTTGGCACTTAAGAATCTCATTGTGACTGGATACCAAAGACTTGCAGCTAATTATCACAATGTTAAAAGATACACCTACTTCTTGTACTCGGCATCAAAACACGGGAATCAAACTTCATATCTAAGGCAAAGATCCCAAAATGAAGAAAATGAAAAGAAAAAGTTTCAAAGGATGAAGCAAAACAATCACTGAAGCTGATCAAAATAGCAACAGGGAGAAATATCAAAAAAGCTCAGAAGATCTTACCACAAAAAGAAGAAAATGGCTGCCTGAATTAACTGGTAAAGAGATGAAGGACAAAAAACTGCTTTTCCACTTAAAGGCAAACAGTGTCCTTAACATTTCCAAAGGCAGCAGTGTTTCAGTCAGACTGTGAGGTTACAGGAAAATTGAGAAAGTCAGATTTGAATGTACAGTCTTCCAGAGCTTTAAAGGAAAAGAAACAAAACAGGTAGAACACCAGGGCGAGAGTTCTCTGGAAAAGGAATAACATTCCTTGATACAAATAGGTCCAGAAGAACAGCAACCCACAGAGCAGTGTTACAAGGACAAACAGAAATGAACCCTGACACTTCTGTTAGAGCAGGTGGGAAAATACTGTCTATATATTACATTCAACTTCTTCTTACAAATAAAAAATGTCACTGCTCATGAGAAAAGATCTGACACAGTAACATTTCGTAAACTTGTGGGAGAAAGAGATAAAAAGCTTTGGATGACTTTCTTACAGAAGAAGTACCTACTGAGCTCACAGAGAAAAAAAAAAACAAGACTAATTTGAAAAACTATTTAGTAGTTGAATAGAAACCTGCATCTCTACTGCTCCAAATACATATACACAAGAGCTGGTGACAATTTACAAAATATTAGAGAATTCTTCAGGTTAAAAAAAATAGTATGTTTTTAGACTGTACATACAAAGAAGTTTAAAATCCCTGTTTACGGGGGATTTTAACGCTCAAGAGTAGAATTCTAGGAGAACTTTTGTATATTAGAAATTTCCATTTTGTCTGCAATTGTTTGTTTCTGTGTTCCTGATTAATAAGTGCCCTGTTCCCAATTTGTTTCTCGGTGGTTAGCAGTATGGTGCTGATGGGAAACATTTTTGAAGGGCTGCTAAAAGACTGAAAAGTTCTGGGAAAAAATGAATTAACTTATTTAAGTAGAATAACTTATTTTAGTAAAAACTTTCCTGGAGTTCTGGAAGAATGACAGATTAGACACATCCATCACCTACATATCTAATAAGAATGCTATGAAACATAAAAAATTCTATTTCCATTTTTAAAACTTGAAGAAGGTCAGTGCATGTATCAGATAACTTTTGCTTTTTCACCTTTCCCATAAGGATAAAGTCCAGCCTTTTCAGTATAGTCTAGAAACTTGCTTTTTTAATAAAGAGAAAAGACTATGAATCTGCTTAACATATTTATTTCTTTTCATCTATTCAGTGCCACAGGGCAGTGGCATGTAGTGCAACACACATTGATATTTTTGCAAAGCACCACATGACTCACTGTACTCTAATACACTCTATTAATCCTGTTTGGACAGCTGTGACTGTGCATTTGTTAGCTGTGTGTTAATTGTTCCATCTTTTTTCTTCTTTTATTTATCTCTATGGCAAACTATTCAGGAATTTCATTTGTTAGTCTGTTTTTTAAGTGAGTTTTACCATTAATCTGTTTCCTATGAGACAACAATGGACCCAGCGTGTACACTTACTGCCACAGAATCCAGTTATTATCAACTCTTAATCTCATGGATCATTAACAATTAATTTTATTTTCTTTTAAACAATTCTTGAATGCAGTAACTCACTGGACACAAACTAACATTTTAATTCTGTTCTGAAACACTGATTTTTCAACATAACATCTTGCTCTGTGTGCTAGAACCGTTTTACTTCTTAGATCTTTATTGTACTGTCTGTATTTTAAATCTACACTAGTTTAAATACTTGAATTATTCTTTTGTACTTTTGTGAAGTTTTACTAGAGATTTTTTAAAAATGAGCTCTAGAATGCATTTTTTAAGATTCAACGCTCCAAAATGCATTACAGAGATTTTATTGTCTGTTGTAGAAATGAGTACTGAATCTACTAAAACTCCTCATCTGTAGATACACCCAGTGTGACAATATACAGTGTAGTTTACTAGAAAACATTAACTACTCTTGATTCAGCAGTATTCTGGTTGAAAAGAAAATCAGCTACAGAACTGCTGGGCATGCACTGCTGGTCTGTAGGCCTCAGCCAAAACTTCTCATCTTGTATTTAAGACTTGTACAGCCCGAGGTGAAGACTTTTGTTTAGTTCCACTTAATGTTCCCAATGAAATTCACATTAGCTGCAAGAATTCCGCACCACTTAAATATATAATAGCCTTGAAATCTAACTTCAAGAATTCAAGCTGCAGATTACCTTATTGAACAAGGTGAAGATACAAAACATCTTTCAAACTGGTTAAAATAGTTTAACTACTTCAAATGCTACTGCCAGTTCTTAACAATAGAATCAGAATTTCTTCAGTTCTGCTACGCTGGACTCTGAATTTTTTAATTTGAAAAATGAACTAACAAAAAATACAAGCAGATTATTTTAGAGAAAATGAAAGTAGCCTGGTATCATTGCTGATAAAGAAAAAACTTAATAAATGAAGGGTCATTAACTGTTTTTAAAAAAACATTTTCACTCAATGTTATCTCAAATGTTTTACCTGGAATCCCTGAATGTGTTTTTTGACAGAAACTGAGCACTGTAATTTCACAGTGAACATGAAATTATTTTATACTTCCCCGGACAATCAGTTCTCATAACTATTCCTCTCCTCATCTCCTGTTCTAAGTTTCCAATCTGACCTACCTTTTTAAAAGAATATATTCTGTAGAAAATGCTTCGCATCTCTTCCTTAGAAAGTATGTTCTGCAGCTCATGTATGTCGAATGTACATTCAACAGCTCACTCTGGTGTAGAAAAGAAGCCCATGCATACATGCTCTTTCCATTGAAAATGATGACAAATTAAAATACAGCTGTAGGTTGTTCTTTTGTGTTGTCGGGTTGTTTTTTTAAATTCAATTAAACATCCTTTATTACAGTGTGTTGTACTTCCATTTCACTTACCCAGTGTCCTTGACATCACTGGCAAAGCAGAGCTCAGCACCAAGATGGAGACACAGTTCCCGATGATCTGTTTGAAAATGATAAACAGTAGTTAAATGATAAATGAGATTGCTGAAGGGAACACAAAGAAAAACAGTGGTCAAGATGAAAAAGAAGAATTCTTAAAAGGTACATTCTACAAATTAAACATAAAGCAATTTTCTTTAATAATATAGTAATATATTGTTAGTCTCGCTGACTTCTGTTACACTTTCCCATATGGTGTTACACAAGATGAAGATGATCCATGAAAAAAATCAAATATGTCATCATGTGATTTTAATCAAAGTGTTACATATGCTTAGATTCAAAACAATTCAAAACTACCACGTTGCAAAGCATCAACTGTTTACTTAATTCCTGCAAACGTTTTATAAAAGAATCATTCCATGGGCTTAGAAGAGACGACTGATACATCATCAGCTTAAGCCTTGGATGTAACTGCTTGCAGGATTAGCATTATTTAAAAAATTACAACAAAGAGCTTCCTTTCAATTCAATGCCTGTTGTCTACTTTAAATAGTACAAAAAAATTCACAGCTGTTAGATTTTACTCTAGTTCTTGTGAAGGCTTTATAAAGAGTAATTGAAACTTTCTTTCACAAAGGATCATTTTCTTCAGTCCTATTTCTATCAGTATCTAAAAGAAAAAAAAAACGAACCTGAAAACTTTTTGAAAGTAGGTAGACATTTGTGCATTCACTATTTATCCCTACACTATTTCTGGCATACTGTAAACAATTAAAAGGAAACAATAAGAGCATTCCAACTCTCTACAATTTATCTAGTATAACCATTCTGTGTGTTGACCTACTTTCTCCCTTCTAACAATTTATAGTAAAAATATCTTCATCCATTACTTAAAAAAAACCAAAAAGCCCACAACAAAAAACAAACAATGAAACACACTGAAAAACTAAATTCAACATCTGTTCCTTAGTTACTGATCACCTCCCCTTGTCAGCTGTGGGAATATTTTGCCAAAAACCTAGGCATTAGGTAACAGCATTTATTATTGAGAAGCTAGTGGTAAATTGTAGAAAGTCAAATTAGCTTTAGATTGCTAAATGTTGCTGAATAGCCCTCCTCAGTCTTAGTTTAATTATTCAAATTTGAATTACTTTGTCTGTATTACTTCTAGAAACCGACTTGTTCAGAACTCAAACAAGCTCCCTGAAGTACAGTTAGCACAATCAAAGTTACTCATTAGCAATACGTTTTCTTTGAGAAAAGTTCTTTCACTTGCTTTTCTATAGCCAGTTAACAAGCTCTGCCATTCCCGGCTTTTTACAAGTGAATGGATGCCATCCAAGCTAAACAGAGCACATCCTTTTTCCCACTCATTCAGCATTTTGAAAATCTTCCAGTTTGTGTTTACGCAGCTTACAAACAAATACTGATCACTGCAAATGAGCCATTCAGGGCAATTACTAAGAGAGTCAGTTTGTCTTGGGTGGCAAGAAAGAGAGGAGGGGGCCATCCCCATCCCAGACTGCACCTCACCTTTGTCATAGTTGTGTCATCCTTCCTGGGAGTGAAATTTTCAAAAAAACGAAGACTGTAGAAGCCAACAACAGAGGATACCATGAGATAGCTGTGAGAATCAAGGAAAAAGGAACCTCCAAGGAATGCAAGCTTCACTCAAGTTCTCAGCAGTCTCCTAAAAGTCTTAAAAACTAAAGAAAAAAGAAACAAAAACACTTCAAGTGTTTGAGAAGGACTGACCCATTTCTTTCTTCTTTACAGGCAAGTGTCTTAGTAAATTACCAGTGTCCCAGAAAACTAGACAGAATACTTGTTAACAGACAGAATTCTTACAGAAAGGATACAAAATCAAAATGATTTCAAGTGCTGCTCCCACAAAGCCAAAGGTGGATAGGGAGGCATTTCCTATTCCAGGCCCCTACAAGAAGAAAAAACTTTGCATAATTTCACAGAATCACAGAATTTAATAAGATACATAACACTTCATAAAGTTAACATCTACCAGGACCAAAAAATTAACATCTTCCATGAATATAGCCTTTTCTGAATACAGTGTTTTAGGGGTGTTCTGATGTCCTAACCTGCAAGTCCAACATCCCATGAAACGGCATCAGCAGCTTTGAAACTGCAGTGAAATGTATTGCCAAGACAGAAGGGATAATGATTCACTTGGGATGCACTCTGCACCCACCCACCAGGCTGTGTTTTATACATACTCCACTGCTTTGGAAACTTTAATAAGATGTCTCAAAGTTAAAAATTTCTAATTGTTCACAACGCCATTGGCAGAGTGGCCATCACACCGAACACCTTGTACAGCTCTGGCAGCTCATACCCAGCTATGCCCTGGGGAAAGCACTACAAAGTTAATAAAACAGCCCTCGTGATTAAAGATACTATGAGTCAATGAGCTGTTCTTTACTTTCTTTAAGTATTTTCATAGTAAAGAAGGAAAAAATGACATGTTTTCTAAGAGGAACACAAACCAAGCCAAGCTTTTCATATTGTTTTTTAATATAGATTCTTAAATTGAACATTACTAGTCTGTATGAAAGTAGAAGACGTAAGTAAAGCACAAACTTTACAGCTTTGCTTTACTGAATCACTGTATCTACATAAAGCTTCTGCACTAGTTTTCATATGAACTCACTATAACATGACATGTAATAAATGTTTGTGTTTGCACAGGAACAAAATCTAGAAGCAAAGTCAAGGTCAAGGCTCATTAGTTTCCGTGTTATTAAAGCAGAAGTTCTCACTTGCACTTCTGTAAGGACTCCAAAGTTTTACTAAACTTAAAAAAATCATAAAAAAAGTTTACTTTACCCCTGATCCCTTTGGCATTGCAGTCTCATCTACCAACAGGTAAAGAATGTTGAGAGCAACCAAGAGAACTGAGATGGACTATAAAGTAGAAATAGTCTTGTTATTTAAAAGTATTCCACATGCTTAAAAGGTATACATTTATCCCCATCGGACTCCATAATGTCAAGTTCTTTTAAAATGGTCCAGAAATATCCAGAAATATCAAGATTGTTGCTTAAACACACATCACCCAAAAATTTTAAAATTATTCCCCCCTACAAACAAACAAAGAATTCTTCATAATTTTTGTTGAGGAAAAAGAAAAAGATAAAAGGAGAAAAAAAAAGGAGTGAGAGTTCTTACCGTCTCAATCAGTAGCAATATCATGACAGCTGGATAGACTAAATTCCTTTCCCAAGCAGAAGCTTTTTTCCTCCTTTCTGTCCAGAAGAGAAAAACCAGAAGCTTAATAGCATAGATCACCTTAGAATATAACAAGTAAGAATCATTCAGCTATCTATAAACTCTTGTTGTACCTACAGGTAACAACAGTAACTTTATCTGGAACAAACATCAACCAGTTCATAAAAACATCCACCCTGCAGAGCTGTACAAAGCAATGCCAAAAATATGAAGCCTCTCTAGAGAAAGGTTGGGGAGACAGAACTAACAGATTTTTCTCTCTTGCATGCTTTACCCTAGCTTTTTCTTCTCCTGGCACACAGCAGTTCTACAAAGTTGAAAATACACTGAATTTAAAAATATGCTGTTTACATGTATATATTAGCATGACCTAAAGGGACAGAACAGAATTTCTGATATTTAAATGGTATTTTCCTCGTGTAAGGCAAGAAAGACAAGACCAACTTCACTGGACATCACCAGCATGTGCAAAAAAAACCCCACAATTCGTTCTTACCACAGTCTTAGTTTGCACACAACAAATTGATAAATGCAAAAATCCCACAAACCTTTGAATAAGTAAGGAAATCTCTGTTGAGTTGCTGCCATCACCAGAAGTATCACTTTTCAGTTTTAAAAGACACAAACCTGCTAAGAATTATTTTACTGCTCTTTAACACAATTTGACTTTTATAGAGAGAAGTCAAAAAGGAAAAGTATTGTCTTAGATTAACACAAATAATCATAAACATATTATTAATTATGAGAAGACCACAGTATTGAGCTCCATGCAAGGAAGTCAAGTGTTTCAATTTCTCTAAAATTATGTTAAAGATAAGATCCAAATCAGACTCGCTACTTAAATTTGTTTGTGGGAGGGGCGCAAGGATTCTGTGTCATGTATTTATAGGAACTATGACAATTTGTAGGGCACAAATTTGGTTAAGAACAAACTTCAATCAATCAAGCCACTGATACAAGCTAAACACAGCACCTTAAGGTCATTTATTGAACTATAATTCACAGGAAACACTGGAAAAGTTCATTACCTAGATTTGTTTTCTTGCTTTTCACTTTTTCAAGCTCCCGTTCCAGCTCTACTGTCTGGTATTCCACTGTGGAAGATACACCTTTTAAAAAAGAACAGAGTATTTTGGATGAGACTAAGTAGTGTGAGACACACGGTGACAATTCAGATTTAGGAAGCATCACATTAACACCTGTGACTTGAAACTGCAGGTGTTTCTTTGAGACTCTTCAACTGCTTTTCAAAAAACAGTCAAGAGCCTCTAACTCTGTCTAACCAGTAGAGTTCAGCATATCAGAGGTTTCAGTGTGATCTGTGATCCACGCCTGTCCTGCTGAGAACAGCCATGGCTAAGCTTTTGCACAGGTCCAACGACCACAGTGTGACAGGCAGGATGTGTCAAATGCCTCACTCTGCATCCCTATATGATTCTTGCCTTCAAGGGCATTATTACTCAGCAACACAAAGGCAAAGTGGAGCTTTGCCTCCAAAGTGTCTAGAGCTCCAGTTTCAGCTTCTGCCCCACCTTCCCTTTCCTCAGCAAGCTCAGTTTGCACACTGTTGACCTGCTTGGTAACATATCTTCTGCTCATACCAGTTTGCCTGATCTGTCAGTCTCTCCGTGCAACAGAGCTCCCCTCTGACAGCCACAATCAGATATTGCCCACAACCCCACAAGGCCATACTCTTCCACTTTCCTTTTCACAGTTTACAGCATACGTGTGTCACTGTTGTGCAACTCCTCATACTCTCTCCTCTGCAGCAGCTGAAAACTGACAACCATAATATTAACTCTTTTCTTCCTGCTAATTTTCTCCCTAAAAGTTGCTCAGCGACTTTTTTTCCTATCCCTACACAGCCTCTAGGAAACCCAGCCCATTTTTTCTCTCCATTATTTTTCTCTTCAACCTTCCATGCTCTTCCAACCACTTCTCTTTCCCAGTGGTTTCCCTCCTTGATGCCAGTTCCTCCACAAACACTGCCCAGTGTTCAGGTACTGACACAGCTCTGCAATGATGACTAGAAATCTGCTGTTTCAGTTCCCATCTCATTATTCCTCCTTTAGCTTTCACTCTCTGCAATCACAAACTGAAAATATTCCTCCTGGGATAAGTTAGAAACACTCTCCACTCACCCTTGCCCCACTTTCATCCCTTTTATTTCTCAATAATTTCACCTGAAAATAAGAGTTCATATTTTCCCTGTCTATTCTAGACCAATCTCACTCTGCAAAAACACTCTGTGGCAGTGACAGTTCAAGGTCTTAACAAATCCAAAGTCCTCTCCTGTTATCATTTGTCTCAATTTACATTCACACCCTTCACCTGTTGGCCATTCCCTACCCACGGCCTCACATTTGGCTGTGGGCTACCCTGTAGTAGCACCATGCTCCAGATACTTTTTTTAATATGAGATTAATATTCTTCTCCAGGCTTTTATCTCATATCTTGATCATTTGGCAACAAAAAGTAAACAGCACTTAGGCTGCTGGCACATTAGCACTACTTTGTAGTCCAGTCTCATTATTTCCTTATTTTCTGTTGTCTGCTCATCCATCCAGCAATCTCAGTACAAGAAAAGAAGGTTACTCTTTTTACTGCAGAGTATTAATACTGATTTGTTCAATGCAGTCAAATCATCAATGAGATATCCAACTGTTTCAAATATTAATTTTTACACATTTAATCAAATGTTCTTCACACACATTTTTGCATATAACACATAACCTCTGTGCTATGCCTAAACATTTATCTTGGATTATAGTGACATAATGTGGGGGGGGTAATATTTACAGGGCTTCAAATATATAAATATCTCTAATCCCAGGACTAACCAGTAAGACCTCCAAACACTGTTCTGTAACAACTTTTACTCACTTGAAGTGCTTGAAATATGAATGTCAGTTTAATTTCTCCATGTTTTTCAATGAGTAATCATAATGTGAGTTTTCAGAAAAAGTCATGTCTTTTAAAAAAAGCCCCTGAAGCTACTTATCACTATAAAAATAAGCTTTTGTGCTGATGCATTCTCTCTGAAAAAAACGTCTAAAACATCTTTTTTATGGAATAACTAATTACTATGAGGTGGGGAAAAGGACAGATATAGAGCTCAGTGGGAAAAGAACTTTAATGGAAACAGTTGAAAAAGAAGGAAAACTCAAGTCGGTATCTGACACTTTCTTCTTCTCCATAACTGATTTAGGGGTCTCTGAGGAAAAGCTCAATTGAATATATATGTTGTTTTCTCCCCTCAATATAAAAATCCTATGAAATCAGTGTTTTGAGCTCTGGAGTCTTTTCAACAAAGTCAGTATGATCACATTAGGTCCCCAAGAGACAGGTCAGTAGAAATCCTGAATCATATCTAAGTGCTGTTGTAGTTCCTCCTTAAAAGCAGTTGCAAACAACAAGTTGCTATACAAAAGGATATTTTACGAGAGGGGAAGGCAAAGTTTCAGATCAGTCAAAAGAGTATTTGAAAAGGATGCAGCTAAATTCTTAAAAGCTCTCTAACATTAGCTTTATTTCAAACACGCACAAAGTTCAATGTCAGCGCTGTCTAGCCAATAAATCAAATTGGTAGACGAGACTTGTTTGGACTAGCAATGAAAAGTTAGAAGGGATTCTCCAAGAAAGCCACAAAGCAGCTCATTTAAGGTCAATTTAACGGTATTATTCTGTTTTTCTTCCAGCCCCGACATAAGATTTCAGTACCTCAAAGGAAATTGTAAGAGTATCTATTTGCATTCCCCCAAGGTGATTGGCAGTTCAACACCAATTAGTTCAAAATTACACTGTTACTAGTGTGCAATAAAAACAACACCTTTCATCTTTCTTACATAGGTAAGGATACCTTCAGAGCCAATAACTTTGATCAAGTAAGTATTTTTGATCCTACCCCACCCGTCTCTTTGGATTCAGGAAAACTAATAGCTGAAGGCAACTTTTTTCTTTTAATATAAAAAAGTCCCAGCTTTATTCTTCGACTGTAGGAGTGATGTGGGTACTGAAATATAATACACTGGAAACAAACATTTTCCCAAAGCCCAGTATCTCTTCAATAGATAAAAATACTAGGGTAGATAACACAATCAAACTTTCCCCTCCCTCCTCCTCCAATTTTCAGTTAGACACTGCAGACACCTGAGGAGGAAGAAAATTAGTTCCCACAAAGAAGATCTACAGTTTCACAGTTAGATTTATTTTCAAATATGAAGAGCTTTACAGTCATCAAGTATCGCTTAAGCCCCTGCTCTGGTCCTCCTCAGTTTTAATAAAAATTGAACTCTTTGGTTATATATATAAGTCAAGTATATATTTCAGAACACTTCACTGCAAACCTGCCCAGCAGGGTTACTTTAGCACATATATTTCCACCACCAACACTGTGGAAGAGTTGCAATAGCCATGGCAGGGGAAATGTGTAGCCAGATTATATCTGCTGTGATACAGCAACAAAGAGACTTACACAGTTTCTGTGTTAAGACACAGATTATGGCCTCTTAACATCACAGCACTAGATTTACTGATGTAATTAGCACCACCTTCATTTGTACACATTTTTTAAAAATGCAATAAACATGGTAGGCACGAGCCTTCATAGTCTGGCAATAATCATGTCTATTTTTCTGGCATAATTTGTACGCATTAGAAAGACTTCTAGAAGAGAAGATGAAGCTTTCCATGCTTGCCATTTTAAGTGAGAACCATGCTTAAATTTACTTAACTACTCACAAAAATCCTGCAGAGTATCTTCTTGCACATCTATTGGCCCCAACCTACGTGCTATCTCCTAGTTTAGATTTTCATTTACTTTTCAGCTTAAGTCCATTAATTTTCTCTGTACACCAAACGATGGTTTCTCAAGCATTCCTTCAGGTGGGGGTGCCAATGCCATTTCCTCAGCATGGGAAACAGAGGAACTCAGCCCCCTCTCCTGTCACAGGACATTTAAGCCCCCACATCTTTCACCGCTGAGCAGTAGGCTGGTGAGTGCTCCCTGGACCATGGGTGGGTTGTTGTTCCACTTTTCACTGAATACCAACCCATGTGCTGAAAGAGAATCCAGTCTTTCACTAGCAGCTGGGGAGCCACTTGCACACGTCCTAAATCCAGACCCATTTAGCAGACACCTTCACACAGACTAGGTCCACCCCACGAGTGATATTAAACTGCAATATGAACAACTGTTGCACAGACTTCTGCACAGAAAAACAGTAGAAAAGCATCACCTAAATAATCACATTCCCTACCTGAACAGCAGAACCTGCCCTGTGCTACTTCCAATTGATACTTGAATAACCATCGGGTCATTTTTTTGTCGTACACAAACACAATCACCATGACAACATAAAATACTTCATAACAAATATCTTACAGTTCCCAGATAACATCAAACACACAGAATAATCATAATTACCCTATCACAGCTTCAAAGACATTCACTGCATGCACCTTTTTGTCTGCCTGTATGTGACTGCACATATAAACACGTGTAATAGTATAGAAACCTGGGCTTCCAAAAAAGCAAAGGTGAATGTTACTTTTAAACTGAAACAATGGCTGATTTTAGCACAAAGAAATCATTAAATCTCCAGAAATTTTAAACACTGGAATAAAGATGACCACCATGACGTCTGCTATCAAAGGTACTTTCCCTCACCAAGCAACTTTGAAAGGAGTCTTATTGAGTCCTCAAAGAAGGAAGGATTGAGATATATGACAGAAGACTGAAAAGTAGGAGAGAAAAAGTAGGAAATTAAGAAAATTAAGACTAAAATAAGTCATAAGACAGCACAACAACGGGTTTGTCATGACATGAATATTCTTTGGTTTTCCAACCTGAAAAAATTGTGGATGGATGGCTTATCTGTGCAGTTAAAAGCAAGTCAGAAGATCTGCACATGATTTCCAGGTTTATAGAACCAATACATTTTCCATAATTGGTACCTGCCATGTTGCAATACTCTTTCTCTTGGAAGCCAAAGCTTCATACTGTTTTTTAAATACTTCCAAACAGAAAAACCTTATTAAGAAATGCAAGACTGTAATATTAAATACAAGAAGTCTATATTTTTATAATTATGTATTTTAATTATTTATTAATATAATTATTCGAAGTATTAAATTCATCAAATAGCTCCTAGAGTATAAAAGACTGCTCTGATTTTTAATGGATTTTTGCCTTAGATTCTGAATAACAATGAACTGAAACACAAAAAACCCTCCAAATTGAAAACAAAATGCACATTGTAGGAAGTGGAATCTTTTGCTTATAGAAGTTACTGGTTCTTCAGACAAGGCTAAAATTGAGTCATTTACCAAGCCAAGATATTTTGCAGTAACAGTTGTGGGTCTGGTCACTGCTCAGTTGCTTACTCAGAACATTCACACATTAGAGCTGATGAACATGTTAAAAACAAACCCAAAGGGAACCACACACATAAGGGCCAATCTTGAACAACCCAGTGAGCAATGAAACACACACATATAATGCTTTCTACACACTAAGATGTCAAAATTTTGGATTTTAAGAGAAAACAGTGAGACCAATGCTCCTGAGCAGAACCACTCTACCCTACATACTGCATCTGGAGCAGAATCACAAGCATACCATACATACCATTAAGCTTCCTCTGAATTGCTTCTTCCTCCAAAGTGATGATATACATCTGCTCATCTAGGTCTTCCAGGATCTGTATTTGGAAACACAAACATGAACGGAGTATCAGAGGTACTTTTTTTCCTGACTGCACTAATATAATCAGGTTCACTTTGCTCCAGTAACCTATATTTTAAATATAGAGTCTACACTTTACAATACTGACACAATGAGAACTTCACAGAAACATTATTCCATTCTGCCACAGATCTGTTTCTTTACTGCAAGTAAACTTCCTGTTCAGTTTTTATTTACGTTCAGTTTCAGTCTAAAGAGATGGAACAGTATATCTGACCTACCCTCAAATCATATCAACCCTCACACTTGATTTAAACAAAAATAACTGCAGACTTCGAAAAAGGATATTAAAAAGTTAACTTTTCACAGAAGCCAGTATTTCAAGCAAATATAAACTGCTATTGGAAGCTAAAACCAAATAAATTAAGTCTGTCTACCTTACTATCAGGTGCTTTGAGATTAAAATTTATGGATAGCAAAACAGTACATATTATCTTTGTATTTCCAGGATTGAACTGACCAATGAAAAGGAATGCAAGACCTAAGTGCACCCAAATTTTAGTAACTATGAACAAGGAAATGCAATAGCCAATCACTAGAGCACTTGTACGTGGTACAAACTTCTCACATCCCTCACAGCACTCAGTATGTGAACAGAAGAATATCTGTGCATAAAAAGTTCTTTGCTATGCCAACCACCCACATTTCACCCATCTAAGTGTACTCCCAGGTACCCTTCCTGTTATACAGCCTTTGTTTGCTCTTGGATCCTTTGCTCCTGAACTCAGAACAAGCCCACACTTTTCAGGTATTTGTAAAACACAGTAGGGAATACTGGCAATGAATAATACTAGTAGCATTGATAAAAATTGAAAAATCAGAGGAAGTTTGTATTATTATAAGAAAAACTTTCTGGGGAAAAAAAAAACAGGCTCTTGTGCTATATAAAAAATTTCAAATGAGTACACAAGTCATGGCTATAGAAACTCTGATCACCTGAAGTCAGAATTCCATAGAAGTGCAAGCATGCTAAAAGAAAGTACCCAAATGCCATTCTACCTTGGCACAGGTTGCACAGGAGGACAGAATTGTGTGGCACTTACTGTCGGCTTCACCAGCAACTGACCCATTACTGTAAACATCCGAGAGAGTCCCACTGGCGTGCACACTGTGGGGGAAGAGAGAGTATGCAAAACAGTCACTTGTAAGAAAAAGACCAATTTTTTATTGGACACTCACTGTGCTATTCCACACATAACCATTTTTTGGTTTTGAAAAGAACTGCAAGAGCTTCAAGGTCCAAAGGTGAAGTTTTAAGTACATTGCAATCATATGATTTTTGAACAAGACGAGCATCTCTCCCCTTCAAGAGCTGAACTGTGATTTTTTTCTTTCGGCAACAAGGAACATCATATTATCAGATATCTTAAAACTTTCTCAACTAATTATTTATTCAAAGCATGTGGCACCAGAGGATATGTCTACACTAGTAAATTCAGCAGTGCCAGGATACATTCCGGGGCTTTAAGAATGGATTGCCCACACCAGTATTTTGCTAGAACTATCCCTGGCATGATTTGCCCTGAGCCAATTAGCACATTCTCAAACAATTCTCAGTGCAGTTCTGGAGTTCATGCAGCCCAGGAACCATTATCATGAGGCAATACATACACAGACACCTTCTGCCAACTGCAATATCCTGAATGGAATGACACTGGCTGGCCACTGCACTGGAGAACATCTCAGGTCCATTACAACTATTAGCACAGGTATAGCTGCAAGGTCAAGAGATCCCAAAGCCACTTTGCTCTGAAAGTCATCCTGCAACTTCAGTTGGTAACAGGCTCAGCTGCCAGATTTTAAGCTACTTGCTAAGAAATAACAATGGGTCCTTTCCGATCCTAGCCTGTGATGGTTTCCAGGAACACTGCATATATGCTTCTTGGGAGAAAGGTTCAATGTGCTAATAGAAAATTATTATTAAAAAGTAACAGTTTAGGGAGAACAGCTTTCAAATACTGAAACCTGTAGGAGATGAAGGAATTCGTAACAGCACAGAGGAGGTTATATATTTATAGTTTCCATTATAATAAAAGAGTTGTCAAAAAAAAAAAAAGGAGAAGCACACAAGATTTTATAGTGAGGATTACAATTATTTTTATTAACTAGTGCTTCACTGTAACTTCTATGTATCACAGGAAAAACACAAGATATTCAAAACTCTAACTTAAGCCAGTCTTCCTTTACTGCAGAGGAAGCCTGCAGGAAAAGGAGAAAAGAGAGAGGAAGCAATGCTCCAAATCACCGCTGCAATAGGCTTTACTCAAACACTGCTGCAGCAACTAAAGCTGAAGATCTACAGGAGCTCCACTCCAGCAGCTGACTCACTGCTGTTATGCTGCCCTTTCAGCTACACATATCTAACAGCTTTTGGAGGGCCTTAAATAACCTCAGTGATTTGCTTGTACAAGACACATGTAACTCTTCCAAAAACTGGCATTTAATCACAACAATTTTGGTGAACTGGTTTACAACAACCCCAGAACACAGGCAGTGTTTTCAGCTCTGCTAAAACAAAACTACAGGGCAGATGCAGAAGTTTTGTAAACCAACTTCCCATTATTAGTACCTCTTGTGAATCACACTCTGGAACAGGCTGCACCAGACACCAAGAACCACAGTGTTTTACCTCTCCCAGCTTCCTCCAAAGTGGATTTGGGAATCTGCACACCCAGAGAACCTAGGGAGATTCACCAAGGTCTCTTTCATAGACAGATCTGCTTAGTATTAGGGACATTTCAGATTATCATTCCCCACCCTTTCTCCACAGTGGCAGCCCTGGGTTAGTTCTGAACGTATCAAGCTTGGAGAAGGGATGACACCATGACAGTCTAGAAAGGGATATGTTCTGTCCCTCTCAGTAGTTTTCTAGAAAGCATTCAGGGATGGGGTTGAGATTATAAGTGGGATTTGGAGCCTTCCATAATGTTTCTTATTCCCCTAAACACGGAAGACTCAACTCTGGCTAAGACCAGTTGATATAAAGTTGGGGGTTTCATTGCATTTGTTTTAAATGCAATTGCATAACTGACCTGCAGACTGGCCAGATACCAGCTCTGTGATTATGAAACCTGACTGCACCATCTTCCAACTCCTGTCTACACAGCAACATTTTCAATTACAAAAGGAAGAAAGGTAGTTTACTGAATATAGGACAAAGTGTTCCAAAATAATTTTCTCACCATATCGCCAACCTCCTGCAGACATTTCATTTAAAAGTTGTGCTTTTCTTTGCAGAATGGAGTTCCTATTTTTCACCTACCTACTTTAACAAGTTATAAGTTAAAATTGTTTTGGGTGAGGTCTGAAGTTGCTCAAAACCCAGAAATGTAAGGTACCATTTGTTTAAACTTCAGAGCCCAAACCTAACAGATTTACATCTGAATTTAAACTTACTAGGAAAAGGAAAAAAAAAAAATCAAACAACTTTCACAATCAAAAAATTTTCTTTAATCGTGAAAAAAACCCTACTACTAAAAAAAAAATCCCCCAACCCACACAAAACCCCCCCAACATTAAATTGGTTCATCTTTTGGAATAATCAGGAAAATACTTACACAGAAGTAACAAGCATCCCATCAGTGATATACAGGAATATAAATATGGGAGGTAGAATTCCCAGAGGTCTGTAAAGAAAACATTGAGCACAGCCTTAGCTTATTATACAGGCTACTTATGTCACAGAATTTAACAGAGAAATGGCACTGACTGAATGAACAGAGATTCTTTACAAGCTGTGCAATACTCACATAGCATTTACTAAAAATATACTTAACTGGAAACACCCATTTCTGTAATTAAAATTAAATTAGTGTTACAATTCTTCTGCATTCCATACCATATAAAGACTCCATACTGGCAGCATCATTGTCTATGAGTGCTGAAGCCACCCATACGATTCCAAGGATAAGCAGTGCAAGAAGGATGAGCATTACAAGGGTTTCCAAAATGCGTGCTCTGATGCCCTGTGGGCAGAAGAGGGGAGAGGAAGGAAAGAACACAGTCAAGAAGTTTGAATCAGATATTTTTAAATATAAGAAAATTACAAAGAAATAGCAGATCGTTCTTCCTAAATACATACTCACATTTTATCATGTAGACAAAAGTATAACATGTAATGCACATTTAAAAGGCAGTGCATAAAAAAAGGAAGTACTTATGGTTTTATAGTGTCCAGATTGAGTTTTCCCCCTTAAACCCATAGAAAAACGTTTTAAATTGCATATGCCTTACAGTTCTCATTAATCTCATTATTCCATAAAGTACTCTTTATACCATATGATTTTGCTCGAGCATTTTTAAAAGATGGATTACTTTCCTAATACTTTCAGCAAAGAAAGTGGATTAGCAAATTTTTATCTATGATTCCAATCAAGGGAATGGAAAGCCAATTATGGCAAATAGCCAAATGGCCCGGCAAGCATTAAACCCTGCGCAGGTACAATGCACCAATTTCCTTAAAATACATTCTGCAGCTGCAGCTGCACCAGTCAGTCTTCAGAGCCCTCCAGCGCACAGCCGGGGTACTGCTGGCTCCGGGCTCCCGCTGCAGCCACTGTTCCCATCATTCCCATCATCCCTGCGTGCCTCGTGAAACACAACACAAATCACTCCTCCACAAAGTGACAGACCACAGCATTTGCTCCAGTCTAAACATGTAACAACGCTCTAATAGTTGCTCTAATAGTTGAGTCTTAGAGTTGCAAATATAACTATACCAACACATAAAATCATACCTATTTTTTGCTGGTGTTTTTATCACTAATTTAACTAATTTTGAGTAATAGAGCAATTTGGACACTTTCTTCAGGCATCCTGGCCTATGAAGGGACCATTAGACTGATGTTCAAATAACAATTTTACTTTTATTTTTCTTTGTTTGCCAGTACACTGCTCCACAAGCAAACCCAACTCTTGTTTCTCACACAGGTTCACACCAACTTGGGGATATTTCACTGCAAAGACTATGTGGTAGTTAAAAGCAGAAAATTCATTTTACTTCGTTGTTTGTCTATTTTTGTCACCTCTTCCCTCACTGCTTAACTAACAGGGTAATCTTTACATGGCATTTACCCTGAAAATTACGTTCCCTACATAATCACAACAATCAACCATGAACAAGGACCTCAGGCATCCTGACCATGAGCACTGATGACTTGTAGCACACCACTTCCTCTCCTCCACCAGGCCTCTGCAGAACAGCTAAGGTGGCACAAAGGAAAATAGATAAAAAGAGACCTTCACAAAATTCCCCTTAAGAATAAAGTGGACAGATGAAGTCCAAATCCATAAACAATCTCAAACAACTAAGTTTCAGATTAAAGTAGCATAGGATAGGATACAGTTTTACTCCTAAAATGTATTTTGCATGTAAGAAAAGGAGCTTTGAGGTTGTTAAAAGTTGTAAAAATGTTATTTTTGTAGTGTTCAAAAACCAGCTTTCAGTCTTCCATGAATTATTTTGAAGGTGAGCATCAAAGGCAAATACATGTGTAAAGTTTTGAACTTGAGTAATAAATTACCAGGAAACAAACAGATTACAGTCTAAGTACTGAGCACTGATAGAGAGCCTTTACTTTACAGCAGAAGGCAAAGGACTAAAGAAAACCCAAAACTTTCATGGATACATGCACGGAGATCTACTTCAGGCTTTCCAAGACAATAAATATAAATCTGTTGTCTAGGTTCCTGAAGGCCTCAGCCACAGAAACTGGATTCCTTTCTTCCCTTCTATGAGACACATGCACAAATCTCAGCTTCTCTGACTTCAATTGTCACAGCAGCAGATTCTTCTGGACAAACCTGGAAAATATTTCATTTTATATAGTGACCTGAGCACCAAATCCTCCTCCCTTGGATTGTCAAAATAGACAAAGAAGAAATACACTACTATGGAGACAGTCAATGTAAATAACACTTTTTCATACTGCAGGTGTTCTCTAAAGACAGGTAAGATTAGGACGATACAAGTAACACTCACTCTCAAAAAAAGGAATGACCACAGCAAGTACCCAGAGCTAACCATTGCTTTTGGCCACAAGTACCATTGGCACAAACCCTAGAAAAAGCCAGTTAGCTACCCAGTGAGCCTTCCCCATTTTTTTGTTTCCATGCTAGTTTGATCAGTCTTTGATTCCTGGAAAATTGAATCAATCTCCTTCTCAGTAGTTACATGTATCTCCACATGTGTGATACACCAACAATACTGCAGTCTCATGTGTGTATTGAAAAGCAGGACTGACAGCTCACTCCAAAGCAGGACATTGTTTATATTACAGCACATACACACCAGGAATCACACACTGATGATCATTTTAAAACAGTAAAATAGTAATATTTTTAGGAACTTCAGTGAAATTAGATAGAAATATTCTGTCAGACAGCAATGAATACCTGGTAACGGTCAAGGATTTAAAAAAAAAAAAAAAGACACTTAAGGCATATAGGTACTTAACCTCAATTAGGCACCCATAAGACTGTGCCCTATGAAAACATTAATGTTCCAGGCACATTAGTTCATACTTACACACACTAGTGTATCTGCCAAACAGCTGCAATTTGTAAAGAACGAAAAGTTACAGAAGTTTCCCCCCGAGCATACACTCACATGGAGAAAACCTCTGGAGAATCACAGAAGGGCTGAGGTTGGCAAGGACCTCGGGAGGTCACCTGGTCCACATGAAACAGGGCCTCCTAGCACTGGATGCCCAGGACAGCGTCCACGTGTTTTTTGAGTACCTCCAAGTTTGAAGACTCAAAAACCTCCCTGGACAACCTGTGCCAGTGCTCAGGCACCCTCACATTACAAACTAGTGAGAAATGAGCCTTAGACACCCTTACTACTTCTTATTTCTGCTGAGGGTAGTTTTATTTATTCCAGTGAAAAATCCATAGCTTGAACATTGTCATTAGTAACATCACTAATTTAAAAGCTGGGCAAAAATCTATACTCCTGACTTTGAGAAAGATACAGGTAAATACAAGCAGTGTTGCATTTTATTTCAATAAAGCAAAACTATTCAAATAAACCTTGAAATTCACTGGGTTTTATTTTTTTCCTGAGCAAAAACCTCTTCCCTGACATTTTGGTTTTGGTTTAACATTTCTTCTTTGAGTCACTTCGCTTCCCTCACACAGTCCCACTATATTACCCAGATTTCTTAGACAAACCAAACATCCTGGCACATCAAAAAGAAATTCACAAAACACACAAAATGTAATTGAGCTTGAACTTTAAAATTAAATTGGTAATTGAAATACATTAAGGTTTTCATACTTTCACTGCTATACACTAAGAATATTGCTGTGACTTCAGCTTATATTTGTGTGGGAAAGAAATAAGGGAAGCTGAAAGACCTAGAAAAAATTTATTCCTTTCCAAAAATCCTCGTCTAGAATAAAGCCTGGGATTAGAAAGATTATTTGCCACTCAAAGAGTTTCAGATTATCCATAAGGCAAAAGCCACTTCTGAAAGTCAATTCCCTGTTGTCCCTGAGCAGAAGTCTAGCATCATACAGGCCAACCTGACACATAAAATGGGTCTCTTGTGGAAGATGGAAAAACAAAAAATATGGCGAACAAAAACTTTTGGAAGCAAATTACTATAATCCAATAGAAATTGTAATTAAACTGGTTAGCAAGGAAATTGGGAAAAAGGACTGATAGATTATACTCTCATCGCTCCTCCCCACTCCCCTTTCTTCTAAACTTCAAAGTTTCACAGTACATTTTCAAAATCCTCCTAGTTCTTTAACGTGAGCACTTAACAAAGTGAAGTATTTTATTAAAGGAAAGATGTTTAACACATCAATCCCAGTTGACTGGAACTTGCCAAAAGCCCAGTAACATCTGTCATCTTCTCTATACACTAATGGGGGGAAAGTGGGGGGAAAAAAAAAAAAAGAGCATTTGAAGCTCTCAAGGTCTGACTACAAATAAAAGCTTTCCTACGAACACATTCTATGCATCTTGTGGTTTGTACAGACACCTGACTTTCAGACTTATAATTCTTTAAAATTCAATTGTCAAGACATTCAGTAGTCTTTAGTTTAATCCTGAGCTACTTATGCTGCCTGGAGCACCAAGCCTAGGGGTTCGTGTTTCCAGAAAAACCTAATTTTAGCAGGAATGGTTTTAATTATTCTAGAAGTGTTCCGACAAATTTTTAATTGCTACTCTGGAAGGTGTCATCAAAATCTTACCATGTTTCTTTCCTATTATGATTAACACAGATAAGTCATCCTGGATGAAAAATAGCCAAAAGATATTAAAAACCAGTACACAGCCAAAAAAGGAAATCCTTCAGCTGCAAAGGCCAATGAAGTACAAGTGGCAACAACAATCTTGAAGGGGTAACAGATGTCATACAAGAAATTCAGAAAGCAAAATTACTAAGGAAACCATCTCTCCTTCATCAGTACATTTGTGTTAAAGGATGACTATTATGCCACTTACAACACAGTAAGACTTTTCCTGCTGTGTGTGTTCACACATAATACTTAAGAGACTGGTTTTACTTTGGAAGGGAACATGTGCAGTGATAGTTTCTTACAACTTTTCAATAAGGAAAAGGAAGAGCTCTTGATAATGGAGACAGTAACGCTGGGCATTTTTCTTCCCATTTGAAATTCTGTGACTACTTTAAATTATATAAATGTGTATATATATATATATGTATTATATATTATATATTTATATATATTATATAAATGTATATATTTTGTATATATACAAAATGCTTTGCCATTAAGCTGGCATGGGTAACAAGTGAAGACCTTCCTCTGGACACTGGCTGTCCACAAAGTTTCAGACATCTCACACAGCCAGTGATTAGCACAGGGATCTTTCCTGACCACAGTGACTTACAAGGACAGCACTCAGGCAAGAAACATCCTGACTGCTCCTCTCTCCATTAAGAGACTCAAGTTAACTCTGGAAAGTTTAAAAGGAAATCTCTGACAATTG